GTTGACAAAACCATAGGAGAGAAGGACGTTGGGAGATCATATGCATTTTTCTTGTTTTTAAAATCTTGTCTGTAGCCAAACCCATTTCTTTTTTTTTCGTTGATCTCTAGTCTATAGCCAAACATGCTGGTCTCTTAAATTTAGCAATCAAATTATCAAAAATTCAATTAACTCGATAACTTTGGATGAGTTTAAATGAATATTATAATGGGGATAGTAGCAGGGCGGATCTAGGATTTTGGATAACATAGGCAAAACATTGCGACGTCATTCAATGCTAAACCTATGATCATACTTTGCAAAACATACTACACTATTTATGCTGATAAATTGTTTAAATCAAAAAAAGTCTAATCATTCATTATGCAGAATCTTGTAGATCTCAATCGTATAAATACATAAAACATTGTATGTTTTATACTTATATCACAAGGCTGTTGATTTTCACTATTCAGAATATTGAATGCACATTAAGACTGTTTGCTCTACATCAGGGTTCATCAGCATGCCTAGGAACACTTTAACGCAAACAAAAAAATCGTGATCCGGCATGGACAGCCCTGTGAGAGCCGAATTAAGCAGACTGGTTATGGCGCCAGTAGTTCGCCTACACCTTGGAAAAAAGGAGTTTGCTAGAAATGGGTGACTATAAGGGATATTTTCATGGATGTGATATTGCTCAATTTCACACCATCCGCAGTCAATTCCAACCCTTTACCCCCACCTAAAAAATGAGCACTCTGGTTTTGAAGCCAGAAACTCGCCTTCACACCTTTAGCAACAGCAAAAGAGTTTGTTGAAATGGGTGACATGTGGGACATTTGCGATGTAAGATTGCTCAGTTTCTACACCATCCCAGTCAATTCCAACCTTCCTTTACCCCCACCTAGGTCATTGTGCACTTCTATGGCTAACAAAATGAGCAGAATGTAAATGTAATGTAATAGTCAAAATAGAGCTTTGTATAAAGAGTCTGTGAAGATAGACTAAAATTTGGTGTAAGGAAAAATTATTCTATTTATGCTTAACAATTTTGTGAAAGTAATTATAAAATGACAACGGCCGAGTACCATACACGTACTCAGCAGTTTTAAGATTGGAATTTATATAGGAAAACCAATATCGGGCGAGCCATTATTTGATGCAAATTTATTGACGTTACTATTGTGTACAACGCACACAAATGGTTAACATATGGACATTTCAACAAAATAAAAAACTAGGATATGAATAAAATTATGCAAATTTTATCTGTATCTCCAACAGCAAAAGTATTAATAACTCACCAATATCTGGTACAATTTCCTGATGAATTTGCATCAAGGCCAAACCATTTAAGTTGCCCCCAACCATGGTACTTCCTCTGCTGATAGTGACAAGAACAGCAACATTATAATTAACACAAATATAGTTGGTAACAAAGTAAACTCCATCCACTAAAACTTTGTTTCTTACGTCAGGTAACAATGAGATGACAGTGTGTACATATTCATTCCATTGACTCCAAAAAAATTATGAATGAATGAAAATCCCGTTCCCCTGGAATTTATTTAAATAAATTACTGAGCATGCTACGCCACTGTTTGTTTGTAATTTAACTTTTATTTCTTATTTAATGTACTTAGATAAAAGTATTACAACTATTATCCATTTCAAATATTGACTATCCTTAGCCTAAAATTTGATAAAATTATGTTCCAAATTATTCAATATTTCAGAATCATTCACTCGTTCACTTTATATTAAAAAGGAAATAAAATTCATGCTTAATCATATATTCTTCTATAGTACGTTATACTTCTGAAAATCTAATACTTTCATGAAAAAAAATTCAACTTCCCCATTTTAAGAACTTTTAGTAGCCGTCAAATAACTACAATACGCAGTTCATTGCACTGTAGCACAGTTTGAATTGATCCTAACAAAAGAATGACCAATATGACAAGAATAATGACCAAAACAGCAGCTACAACTGCACCAGCAATAGCACCAATTTCCACCGTCTACAAGATAAATTGAATGACAAATCATAACCTTACCAACAAATATTGTCTTTCAACGATGATTTTTGTAAAGCTGAGGGTGTAACTGCTCTCACAATTCTCATGTATTCATCCCTATTAACTATTCATGATTTATTTATGGTATAAAATTATGTTTGGAACGCAATGAAATTAGAGAAGAGGTACACAAAATCACTAAGGTTATTTGTAGGAATTAAATGGCTAATTGTATAAAACAAAATCTATATTCATCGTTGAAAAATTTTCAGGCATTTTACTATACTAAAATTTGCACAGATCTTGAATAATTGAACTTTAGACATCGATAAACTTCCTTATGCTATTGAAAGCAAACACAAACCTGTGCTTTGGGCAGTTGCTCTCAGGTCTTTTCAGACTTTTTTGGCAGTTGCCACTGACCCAGTCAGTGGAATAATAATCACCCTGAAACGAAGTGAACATTTATATATTTGAATAAAATTGCAGCACCAATGCTGATGAAAACCTAAATAAATGGTCGTACCTGATCATTTATGAAAATGCGCTGAAATATTTTGTGTTAGTGCCAGGCTTTAGCGGGCCATTATAATACTTCACCATTGGAACGCCGTGTTGTTTTCACCATGACTAAGTGTAAAATCAGGTTGAAAGTCTCTGCTGAGACTACAGCAGCAATATACGGCATTGGTTGTGTGGAAGATATGGCCTTAGAATATCACTGTCTGTGTTTTTAGTTAGATAGCAGTCGACTCTTCTGCAGACATTTTCATCATGACTACATAGAAATATTCAAATTTAATGCAAAACATTTTTAAAAACATGCATAACCTCTGCTTTGTTAATGGTTAAAATATATGTTATGCATGCATCCGCAATGCCAAAGAAAAGGATGAGCCAAAGCTTCCCCAGAGAGAGATATTTAGACTACCTCGATCCCACATGAAACCAACTGTCCTATACTTAGCCATGAATCCGGAAAACTCAAAAAAATACTTTTAAGTTCCTTTTAAGTTTTTTTTACAATAATTTTCTCTAGTAAAATACATAGTTACCGATATTCCAAATTTGGATTTTGCAACAAATAAGTCAATGTATTTCCAATCTGCTTGGTGGAAAGTTTAGGTGCCACTAAATAAATAAACTTGAATAAATTGTCATCTTAAAGAAACCTGTGCATAAACCATAGACAACTTACATCCATTTGTAAATACCTGTAACATTGTTGTATCCAGATCCCACTATTGTGAAGCTAAAACACAACATAATATTTTGTCCCTGGTTTCACATTATTTATTTCCAAACGCTGTTCGATCATATACTCATTGAACAGGTTTCATTCTCCAATGTAATACAAACAGTGTAACTGACTATCTTTCCATTTGTTTTGTTCTTGTCTGGTGGCTCCCAACAATTCAACTGATAAACGATGAACTGCTTAAGGCGACAATTTGAACATTTAAAGGTGGACCTTCGGGAACTAAAACAAAAATAAAACATTTGTTTTAAAATTTATATAAAATATTAAATACACTTTTAGAAAGAAGTCAAAACAAGTGTACACTGTCATTGTTAACTTAAAAAGAATACAATATGAAAACATGATTGAAATAAATATCGACCAGCAAAGATTTCCACCGTCTACAAGATAAAATTGAATGACAAATCATAACATTACCAACAAATATTGTCTTTCAGCGATCATTTTGTAAAGCTGAGGGTGTAACTGCTCTCACACCTCATGTATTCATTCCTGTTAACTATTCATGATTTATTTATGGTATAAATTAGGTTTAAAACGCAAGGAAATTAGAGAAGAGGTACACAAAATCACTAAGGCAGTTATTTGTAGGAATTCATCGTTAAAAATTTTCAGGCATTTCACTATACTGAAATTTCCAAAGATCTTGAATCATTGCACTTTAGACATCGATAAACTTCCTTATGCTATTGAAAGCAAACACAAACCTGAAGACTTGTGCTTTGGCAGTTGCTGCCACTGACTCCAGTCAGTGGAATAATAATCACCCTGAAACGAAGTGAACATTTATATTTGAATAAAATTGCAGCAATCAATGCTGATGAAAACGTAAATAAATGGTCGCACCTGATCATTTATGAAAACGCGCTGAAATATTTTGTAGTTAGTGCCAGGCTTTAGCGGGCCATTATAATAATTTTCACCATTGGAACGCCGTGTTGTGTTTTCACCATCACCAAGTGTAAAATCAGGCTTAAAGTCTCTGCGAGACACTACAGCAGCAATATACGGCATTGATTGTGTGGAAGATATGGCCTTAGAATAAGTCACTAAGTCTGTGTTTTTAAAGTTAGAAGGCAGTCGACTCTCTCTGTGACATTTTTCATCGCGACTACATAGAAATATCTGCAAATTTAAGGCAAAACATTTTAAAATACATGCATAACCTCTGCTTTTGTTAATGGTTAAAATATATGTTATGCATGCATCCGCAATGCCAAAGAAAAGCGACGAGTCATCAAAGCTTTCCCAGAGAGATATTTAGACTACCTCGATCCCACATGAAACCAACTGTCCTATACTTAGCCATGAATCCGAAAACTCAAAAATACTTTTAAGTTCCTTTAAGTTTTTTACAATAATTTGCTCTAGTAAAATACATAGTTACCGATATTCCAAATTTGGATTTTGCAACAAATAAGTCAACGTATTTCCAATCTGCTTGGTGGACAGTTCAGGTGCCACTAAATAAATAAACTTGAATAAATTTATCATCTTAAACAAACCTGTGCATAAACCATAGACAACTTACATCCATTTGTAAATACCCATGTAACATTGCTGTAACATCCAGATCCCACTATTGTAGAAGCTAAAACACGAACATAATATTTTGTCCCTGGTTTCACATTATTTATGTCCAAACGCTGTTCCTCGATCATATACTTCATTGAACAGGTTTCATTCTCCAAATGTGTAATACAAACAGTGTAATTGACTATCTTTCCATTTGTTTTTTCTTGTCTGGTGGCTCCTACGTAACTGATAACGATGAACTGCTTAAGGCGACAATTTGAACATTTAAAGGTGGACCTTCGGGAACTAAACAAAATAAAACATTTGTTTTAAAGATTTATATAAAATATTAAATACACTTTAGAAAGAAGTCCTAACAAGTGTACACTGTCATTGTTAACTTAAATATAATACAGTATAAAAAAAACATGATTGAAATAAATATCGACCAGAAAAGATTTGAGCTTCAAAAGTCGTCTATGGCAATAACACCATCAATGCAACAACAGCCGATATGTATACACAAAACTGATATGAACTCACCATCTTCAGCAGTTCTAAAAGTAGCTGTAGTTGATCTACCAAAGCCTTCAGAATTGCCAGCGGTTACATTAACTTTATACGTTGCGTAAGGAACAAGATTCGTAATGTTGTACGGTTTTTGTCAGTTACCTCCAGAGTTTTATCAAAACAATCATAGTATCCTTCAGCAAAATCAATAGATATCTTGTAAGAGGATTCGAGATATTTGTACCAAGTTTTACACCAGTTTTTGGGATGTTTCCATGATATCTCGAGGTACGTCGATGCAGATTTGGTTGCAATGAGATCTGTTGGTTTGTCTGGGAGTAAGTCTGCACGATAAAGAAAATCTACAAATTGAACCATTTGTAGCCCTAATGAAATAAGTGTTCTGCTTTTTCTCCAATAACACGTGTTAAACTTAACTGCATGTTGAAAAGGCTTGTTTCAATAAGTTTATTTCAACAGAGAAAGAAACTAACACTTCAGCCTTCATGGAAAATTGTTCTGTTTTGTCAACTAACTCATGTTTAATTAATACTCAGAGAAAAAAACTTTATATATTGAAAAATTAAGTGCTTACAGTGCAAAGTAAACCTGGTATATTTTTTCTACCTCTTACCTCCACCACAAATTTCAATTCGTAAACACGGTGCACCAACAAATTTCAATGGAAAGATTCGCAAAGCTTTGGATTTAAGGCCACCAGAAAACTTTTCTATAGCCGCATCATTGTAACCATTTTTGTTTCCTAGATAAATCTGGAATAAAACAAAAAAATTGATTTTCGTGTATTTGCAGAGCAAGGTTAGAGAAAAGAAAGGTTTGTTTAACGCTGTCCAGAGGAGAGTAGTTTATGCATTGTCTATGTATCTCTTCAAATCATGCACATAGCTACAATTTAAACTTTATAATCAAATGCAAGAGTCCTTCGTAGTGCAGGAGTAACCAAGACAATCAACACAGTGACGTAGCTAGCCCACAAATTTGGTCGTGCTATATGTAAATTTCTCAGAGCTCACTAACTGTAAAACAATAGATCTCTAAAGAAATGAATAATGATAATGATCTGAAATTTACATAGAACCAGCAATTTTGCGTGCCGGCTACACCACTGAATCAACATCTGCACACAAGTTTGTATATAAATAGCAATTTAAAAGTTTACTTAGTTTATAACTTCATTCCTTTTAAATTTCCTTTAAATTTATAATATACAAATTCGATAAGTCTACTGTTACCTTCTGGGATTTTTCAGATTTCCAGTTCACACCATCAATGTTTGTCTGCAAGTGATATTTAGTTACAAAGCTTGAACTTGAACTGTCTCCAAAGATAGTGATAACGTTAACTGTATAAAGACTCGGAAAATTCAGTTGAAGGTAATGATTGCCATTAGCAGCAGGAGCACACCATGAACTACCACTGGATATTCTTGCTTTAGCAGCACTACGACTCTTTGGGAAGGCAGTAAACCAAGAATCTGGGAATTTTTCTGCGTTTTTTAATAGAGGATTATCACAAACATGACCTTAAATAGAAAAGGATTTGGTTGAAATGCATTATAACATTAGAACTGGTTTGATTTGATAGAGAGCAATGGTGCACTCTCATATTGTTCTCCATTCACGTAAAATTGTAAAAATTAAAAACTGTTTTCTTAAGAAAGAAAAAGAGCACAAGATATATTGGAGGAATACGACTGATTTTGCATGCTTTTATTAAATAAGGTTAAATTCCAGTTGGAATCAAGCCAGCTATGACAAGAAACCGTAAGTATCTTGTCAATAACAACAATACCGTAGCGATTTAAATTCCATTAAAGAGTGAACGTCAATCGTATTGCAGAGGAATGACAATTGGACATTTTTTGAAGCACGAAATGAAGTAGCAAGAGTAAAATTAATTTAATCCTCAGTATTCGCAGCAATCCTGTTTTAATTATTTATTATTTAAGAGTAGCAATCGTTTATATTTTGTGATGCTATATTTCTTTGTTATGTAAAAGAAGAATTGTGAAATTCTCCAAGTCAGCGTAAAATACAGTGACACTACGATGTCAGATGTAAGTCTTGATGATAGAGGTAAGTCATGATGCTTAACAATAGACAGATGTAAGTTGAGAACACAAAAGTAACACATTCATTCCTTAAATTCTTCGCTAAAATCTTTTCTAACGTCATACAAATGTGTCCTGCAATACGTTAATACATTCAAAAAATTGAATGAGAATGCTTACATGTAACGTACGAGTATTGAGAGCAATCATTATTTTGAGTGATAGCACATTGAGATAAATCGTTCACTCGAGCATCACATTTGACAATTCCAGGTATAAACGATTGATGCATCAAAGATGATAGTGACATTGAGCCTTCCACAGATGCTGCGGTAGGATAACCAAGTTGTTTACAGATAATCGTCTTTATTTTGTGCAAAGACCTTTGTTGCAAATGGTGAAGTTTCTAAACTTGGTAATAACATTCACGACACCTTCGTTCGGAAGATTCGACTTAGACAGGCGTACATCCATAACTACACAAATCAAAATTATTTTTCCTTTAATTGTGATTATGGCGCATATCTTAAAGTGAAATCTGTGTTTTAGAAGTGGTTTTATGAACATAAATATGACAAATCTCGTCCATGAATAAAATATATACACGGAGTTTGAATATCAGAAGAACACAGAAGGTGACATTAACTTAAAAAATTTTAGTTTGAAAGCACTTAACCAGAAATGTTTTCCACATTCTGATGGACACAGTATCTTATAGATTTACACTTAAAGTTGGTAAGCACTGTTTTGATTTTAATCTTTAAGTTGACAATGAACTACAGGCAAATAAGTTGAACTGAGAACTTTTCTCTTGTGTTGTAAACACGAATCACAACAAAATGTGTCTAAGTGATTATGTGAATCATTAATGAAACCAGAACAAATACCGTTTTTTATAGGTGAGCGCTGCGTTTAGCTTCCCAATTCATAGGAATTGTAATGAATCTATCTTTGTATATATATACAGTATATGTAAAATTCTGTAGTGTGAAGTCATGAAAATATGAATACAAATGCAATTAAATGTCACTTTGGCCTACATAGAATGGCCAAAAGATTTTAAAAGAAATAGATTTGATAAATCAAATTGACTGGAAGAAGATATGTTTCCATGAACAAAGTTTGCATTAACAAACTAAAAACACAAAATTCACCAAACCATTAAACTTATGAAAATATTTAGGACACAAGTTTAAATGTCACATTATAAAAAGACACTAAATTATACAATACGAGATAAAACTGCATAAACAAACCACGCCTGGTGAAGACACCGACGAAAATTCAAATTTGTGTCAACTTTTCTAAATTGATAACGTACATAGTATAAAAATGAGCAACATACCATTGCGCATTAAGGTCAAAACTTGTCCCGAAGTTCTTTAATAATAAGCAAAATATAATCTGCCCATATAATACTTACGATTGCAAATTTTTCTGTATGGCATACTTGTGTAGTTACATTGATATTCAAAATAAAGATATTTCTCGAAACCAGGACAAATATTTGAAGGAAAAATGATTATCATCAACAGTTACATTACATTTTCTTTCACCATCACAGTAATTTTTAAGGTCACATGTTACATCGACACTACAACTGTGGTTATAACTGGAGCCACAAATGCTTCCGGTTTCTCAATCCACGATATTCTGCAACTTTTATCACCATATATTGATTATTAGGACAACTAACGTCCGATATAATTTTTCCATCACATGTTACTGAGCCTATTAAAGACACACAAAAAATAAGTAAATTCATATCTATACAAGCTTATTTGTGAATTCCTGTAAAATAAAATTGATTTGATAAATATGAAGTGTGTGATTGCAGTGACTTCACTGGCGCCATTCCTATATCTGCGGCCTTGCAGTGGCTTTTAATTAGAGTTTAAGTATATATACGCTAACTGGATGAATATTCTCACTTGCCAAAATTGAATCGCTGATCTTCTTCATTTTTACAACTTTTCAGTCGCAGGAAGGAATAATGTCTTGTAGCTAGTATGCATTTATTATAGCGTAAATAGAATAGACCACCCCAATTTGTTTGGGTTATAGTATTGATGGCTCCGCATTCTTCATTAAAATTTCCTTCAGATAAGAACACATTAGTTTCGTATCCTAAGACAAGACACCTAGTTGTGTTCGACCTATTGATGGAGCCAGATTGTAAAAATTTAAAATAAGTTGACTCCTCAAAACTATTCACTGTAGACAGGACGAAAAAGGGTAAATTATCCCTAACACACTTTCCTGACTGAACATGTTTGATGAAAAATCCATTCGTATCTGAAAAAGGACAATGATACATGATAAAATTGATTGAAAATACCACACTCTACAAAATATATATATAAAAATAATATGACTTTATGAAAAATAATTTAGCATACTGAATTCTATCAATATAGGAAAAACACTCCAAAAAAGTCATCTTGAAATTCAACCTTTCTAAAGAATTAAATAAACCAATTGCTGTTGAGGGTCATTTTAAAATAATGGCGTATGAAACAATTTAAGGCATCCAGCATGGAGCATTGATCTAAAATACATGGAACGCTACCTGTAATACAAAACCCTAATAATTTTTAAAGCCGTGATTTTACCCCAGACACGCAAGACTTTACCCCACGAGTGTGTAGTCAATCAATTTTACTCCGCGAGAGGAACTCGAAACACTAAACGCGCGTGTCTTGGGTAAAATCTCGCGTGTAGCGTAAAATATGGTTCAATTATATGCTTGATGTAGCGTTCCATGTATTTTAGTTCAATGGCATGGAGACTGAAAATTTTACAAACAAGTTGAAAAGTGTAAAAATCAATTAATAAAAATTTCACGGCGCACGGTCTGTTACGATGGAAAAGGAGAGTTATGGTTTGTTTACGCAATTGAAATATTTGAAATATTTTAAGATTGTTTGCTGAACCTGATTTTTCAACTGTATAAACTCCCATGACTTTCGTTTTGATGAAAAGGAAGTTTATCTAAACACTTATACAAATTTGTGCCCAGAAAAGTTGATGATTTAGGTTAGTATTATTCAAACTTGAAGACAAGGAATATATAATTCAATGTAAAACTGAATTGTGAACTCTGTAAGCTGTACACTCTTTTGGTGGAGTTCATTTAAGTTGTGCTGTGAAATAGTGCTCTTGATAATAAGAATACCAGAGTTGCACAATTTAAAATTCCAAACAATTTAAATAAATATCATGCCAGGGCTTATACAAAATCGTGAGGCTTTTTTACGGGTTTATAAAGGTTTATACATGCAGAGGAGAGATGCATACAAATATGTACAGGGATATTATACAGAGGGTTAATATACAACGAAATTTATTTCTACTGAAGTGATATAAGAACATTCTCCCGTTAAAAATATTTAACAATTTTTGGATTAAGTTGAGCATGATATAAAGAATATTCAGACCGAGGTCAATTGGATATCTACCGAAGCAAATCTGAGGGGGATAGCGCTGACTGCAGTCTGATTGAAAAATTTTTGCGGTTCGCTTTCGTCTATTTCCTGTAAATACGCGATGAAAACTCTCTGGACAAACAGTTTAACACTTTCGGTGTTTTTTCGTCTATATTCCCGATAATTTGAGCAGAGTAAAACACTTGAAAGTCTCGATGAAGATTCTACCAAAATATTTCTTGTATATACAGTTGTCTCATAAAGAAAATTCGTCACCTACAGGTAATTTTCAATGTTTTTCTAGGTGATAGTGTATTGACAATTATTTGAAGGCTTTTAGACAATCACAATCGAGATTGCATCACCGTTGTATTATAATAATAAAGCTTAACTAGCACAGATCAATATATGAACATCTTAACCCTAACCCTCACACCCATTAACAAACAACCAAAATCTTCCAACGTGATCGTTAATGAATAAAATCAATAAACCCGAAAATAACCAAGACACGCTCTTGAATTGAGCTTTTACTCTTTACAGGTTTACATTATAATATATGTATGACGAATTAAACATGTTTGGCTGTTCCGGGTGTATTCTATTAGCTTTGCAACTGCAAAGAAATTACATAAGAGTATACGTACATGATGAATTAAATATAGGTCAAAGTGTCGTATGGATTTGAGCGAAGTTGAATATGAAGCATTATAATCACATTGGTGTACTATAAATTAAACTGACACAGGAGAAACTAAAATGAACTGCCCTTGCATGTACCTTGTCGTTTTAGGTTCACGTTGATGACAACATAACAAGTGTGATTTTTCCACCGTATAAAACATACTTGTAAGGAATTTGTGTTGTCCGATTCCAAAGCTAGTAAAACGTAAGATAATACTTTTCTACTTTTTCATTTATGTACTTATGTGAACACGTAAAGTTTTCTGTTGCTTCCCATTTTACGTTTAATGCTTTTGGTAAAAGAGGATAATGATGATAATCGACGTGTGACAAAACAGTAAAGTTCAAAATAATCGGGCTGCATCCACATGTCCCTAACAAAAAATTAAGTTATCTTTAACTGGTTGTCCAGAGAAAAAGAACTAGTAGAAAGTGACACTCATTTGACCACAAAATGTTACATACTATTCACATTGAATCGAAAGTCCTCCTTAAACCCAAATAGGCAATAACTATACAAACTATATCATATAACTGCATATATATATATTTTTTTGACTATACTGTCATATTACTTTGCTTTTGTAACTAGACAGAGGAACAATGAACGAGATATTATTCTGCGTCAATGCTGTGAAGCTAGTGTATCCAAATCAGTTGAGTACTTTAACATGTACCTTACGGGTTCAAACCATTTACTTTAGGTACCTTACTTTATTGCACTTTCTAAGAACACGGTTTCAATTACATATTTAAATTAAACAGTACCTCAGTAATATAAGTGTTGTGATTGTTTGCCAAGTACATGGCCAGTTGATGTTCTGTACTTACTGTAAACTGAACTGTTGTTTACTTTACCTTCGAGTGGACATATTTCACTAAACATTTTAAATCGCTCCAAAGATATTTCTTCTCCTCAACACAACAACGTGTACGAGTATTGTTGCATTTCGAATCGATTTCAATTTTGTCCGCCACAAATTTCTTCCATTCTTCCTCACAAAACTCAAGTTCTTCATTCCAACCCATTTTCATTGTGAATCCTTGACCAAATAACAGCCACAATAACCACCATATCATTAAACTCATCATTGCATAGATCCAAGGATATACAGTAAAGCTCTAAATTATAATTGATTGTTGGATGTATGTACGTTATCACAGAAGACTTTAAATTTATATTTAGATCGACAATGACTACGTCACAATTACATCTGTGATGCAAGCAGATCACGATCAAAACGTATTTTTGAGCAATATATGAGCATTATCTAAAAAGTCATTTCAGCAAAATTGTGTAGCGAGAAAACTGTTCAGAAATAGATCGAGTTAGTCTCATATGGCTGCATGATGGCTCTCTTATTGGTAGCCACTGTAGCTATTATATAGGTACGTGGTTATAATTTTCTTAAAATAATGAAACTTGGTTAACTTTAAATTTATGCTTTATTCTTCTTACTCGGTTCAATCTAAATTTCAACTTCTTGTGTTTCAAGAGATTTATTGAACGATGAAAAATGCTTTTAGTGGATAGCGCTAAGGAAGTGAAGAAAGCGAGATCAAATTAAAATCAAAGCAAATCATTTATTTTAGATACAATAGATTAAAAACCCAAGACGATGTTAAAATTCTTTATCTGAATATGAAAATAACAATTGTGCATGCAGAGCTTCCCATTAGCTATTTCATTTCAATTTCCTGTTATGTCATGATACATGTAAAAAACCTATGAAATCATAAAGTACTTTACAATTTCTTGTAACGCAGCCTCTATAGCTGTATAGTTATACCCGTATTGTCTCTAATGCTATACCCGTATTGGATTTTCATTCGAATTTTTAATTCATCGAATTCAACACATTAGCAGGTATAAAACAGCTAAATTGCTCAGTTGACAAATTCAAAAAGTTACAGTTGAAAAATTAACTAAATAAATTAAAAATTTCAAAAGATAATGACCAAAAAATAATGTTGAAAGGGTGTTAGATATTTACATTACATGCACCGCGGAGCTTTTTTTCTATTGAGGAGGGAAGAGCTTACGAAATAAACGAACGTCGATATTAAGGGCAGCTAAGTAGTTTTGGGTTTCAGCGTTATCTTGAGATTGCTCAAATTCTTTTATAAAAATTTACAGAAATATCACAGAAAATCGTAGAAATGTTGTGCAACTTTTTACATTTTTTCAAGCTTATTCCTTTGCTTGCAGTTATTTGTGGAGTACTTGATGACAATGAATACTCCATAAGAATTGAAAATCTTAAGGATTTCTTTTAATTTTCGCAGGTTCCGCTAAAGAACAAATTTTTTACAAAACAGTGGAATAGGATTTGCTTTTGAGGTAGTTGAGAGATTTGAGCAAAAATATGATAGTATATAAATATATGAATCAAAACATTAATGTGATAACCTGTCCCAAATCCTACATCTAGCGTGGAGGTATTGTGGTAAATGAAAAATCTCTCCATTTACTATAAGAATCAAATCATTTGGGGGCGTAAGTTGTGTGGTGTTTGTATTAACACTTATTTGCCAAACTCAGTCGAAGAAAAATTTGCAGTATTAAATAATATAAATAAGATAAGGAAACTTCCGTTTTACTATCAACTACATCACATCTTACCTTTGTTTTTATTAATTGAAAACGGACACAATAAGGCGACTGCAGATATAAACCTTAAACAAACAGAGAAAAATTAAGATACATACAAGTCAGACGAACAACAGAGTTGTGGCTTTCGCAACGTTTTACTTGCAACTGCAGGCCAAGGCTGTCGGCTTTCTCAAATGTACAGTGCCATATTGAGTATATACAAACACTCATGCCATCTGCCCCAGTTATTCAACATCTTATAGAATTGTTTCGCGTCAAATCCTATCCTTTACAAATCAACGATAATGCTATAAATTTTTGGAAATTTGGATGTTGTTGCTGGTTGACAAAGCAATGTTATAGAACATAGATTTTTGACATTTTAGAGAATTACCTCTGTTTATAGCTACGAAGCAACGAAACACAAATAATGCATGTAATGTGGGCAAACACGGCAAAACAGGTTAATGACTTCAAGTGCTCAATGACGAAAAATTATATTGTTACAACATAAAACGTAATTTAAGTTTTTGACTATCAACTTTACCAACAGTAAATTCAATTTTGCTGACAGTCATTAGCAAAATTTTAGGCCCTAAATACAACAAATTGTGTCGGACCGAACTATACAGTAAAATTTACATCGTAATACCAGCTGTAACTTTATTGCCTACAGGTGTTTGTTTAAACAATAGACACAATACGACAGCAGCGAAAATACAGTGAGAAATGACAAGAAAAACATCGCTTCAAGAATAATGACTTATGAATGAAAAATGGTTTAAGTGATTGGGTTCAGCGGTAAAGAATTAAGAATTTACGAATCAACAATAATACTTTAAATGTTTGGAAATTTGGATGTTGTTGTTGGTTGACAAAGCAATGTTATAGAACATAGAGTTTTTGACATTTTAGAGAATTACCTCTGTTTATAGCTACGAAGCAACGAAGCACAAATAATGCATCTAATGTGGGCAAACACGGCAAAGCAGGTTAATGACTTCAAGTGCTCAATGACGAAAAATTATATTGTTACAATATAAAACGTATTTTAAGTTTTGACTATCAACTTTACCAACAGTAAATTCAATTTTGCTGACAGTCATTAGCAAAATTTTAGGCCCTAAATACAACAAATTGTGTCGGACCGAACTATACAGTAAAATTTACACGTAATACCAGCTGTAACTTTATTGCCTACAGGTGTTTGTTTAAACAATAGACACAATACGACAGCAGCGAAAATACAGTGAGAAATGACAAGAAAACATCGCTTCAAGAATAATGACTTATGAATGAAAAATGGTTTAAGTGATTGGGTTCAGCGGTAAAGAATTAAGAACAATTTAACATTTCAATATTAATTTTAATTTGGTAAAAAACAAACTTCTAGTTGATGCATTGGACAGCCACTCTGTTGGATATTATCAAAGTCTACTACAACAAGCAAGGATCATTTCAATTTAGGCAATTTTCACAATTTTCTTCGTAACTTAGCTATGTTAATTAGCTGTAAAGTGTTGTTGTTAAGCCTACGTTTTGATGTGAACAGGTGGAAGGAAAAGCATGTAGAAACACATAAATTTTGAAATACCAAATTAAAATTAGTTGTATTATAAGGCCTTTACTAATTGGGAACTCTTTAAAGAGAAATATCGGATCATTTAATTCTTTATGTGCAGACCTCGCAGGCTCGAAGAGCGAATAAACAAGTTAATAAAAGGTTTATTATAAAGTATTATTTAAACTGAAACGAAGCCTTTCTTTACTTTTTTGTCCTCGCTGTTTTGTAAAAGTTGGCATTCTCTCCTGTTTTCTTTTTGTTTTCAAATTTTTTGCTGTTTGTTTTTCGAAATTTGTTTAGATTTGTTTGTAAAATTACCTGTAATGAACCGCTGGTTTGAATTGTTATAGATCTGAGAGACTGTATATGGTCATTGTCAACATTAAGTCATTAACAGCATTTAACTATGTAATAACATGGTGGCCTCTTGCTATCCCAGGGACGTTTACTGACGTATTTTCTCATCAAAATATTCATTAGGGACGTTTAGACTAAATATTCCTCATCAGTACAATCAATAGGGACGTTTAGACTAAATATCCTCATCAACAATAAAACAATACGCCTATTCTTGGATTGCATACAATTTCCACGGAATTATGAAAAAAATTGACTCAATTCTGATCTATGAAAACGTTTAATAGTTGATGTCTTTAGCCTTTGAAACCACAATACTTCGAGGGAAGGCCGGCATTATGTAAACTGCAAAACTCTGTCAAAGGAAATAATTGCTGTATATTAAATGCTAACAAAGCAACGGGGATAAACAAACATTCGTTTTACCTTCAACTGTAGCCAACGTAATTTATTACATCTTACCTTTCGTTCTTTTATTGTCTTTACGTCTTTGTTTGAAAAACGCACACAAAAGGCAACTGCAGAAATACGCCTTAAACAAACAGAGAAAGTGAATATTCGTACAAGTATGGTAAACAATAGAGTTGTGGTTTCGCAAAGTTTTACTTGTAAGTGCTGGCCAAAGCTGTTTCCTCAAGTGTGGAGTAGCGTGTATTGAGAATATATAAACATGCACTTATGCCGACTGCCACAATTATTTAACATTTTATTGAATTTTGTTTTGCCTCAAATCCTACCCTTTACGAATCGACAATAATACTTTAAATGTGTTAGAAAATTTGGAAACAAAGAAAAATTAAGATACATACATTGGTTGACGAAGCAATGTTATAGAAGATAAGTTTTTGATATTTTACCTCTGATTAGACAAAGCGCCGAAGCAAAATTAATGCATCTAAACTGGGTGAACACGGCAAAACAGGTTAATGACTTCAAGTGCTAAATGACAAAAAATGATATTGTTCCCATTGCGTATTTTAAGTTCTTAAATATTAACTTTGTTAACACTAAATTTAATTTTTGCTAACATTCATTGGTAAAAAATTGTAACCGCAAATACACCAAGTTATGTCAAACAAACTATACAGTAAAATTTACAACATGAAACCAGCTTTTTATTTCTTACAACTCTTTGTTCACAAGACGACAGCAGCACAAATACAATGAGAAATGGCAAAAAAATAATGCATCAAAGAATAATGACTTATGAATGAAAAATGGTTTAAGTGATTGGGTTCAGCGGTAAAGAATTAAGAACAACAATTTAACATTTCAATATTAATTTTAATTTGGTAAAAAACAAACTTCTAGTTGATGCATTGGACAGCCACTCTGTTGGATATTATCAAAGTCTACTACAACAAGCAAGGATCATTTCAATTTAGGCAATTTTCACAATTTTCTTCGTAACTTAGCTATGTTAATTAGCTGTAAAGTGTTGTTGTTAAGCCTACGTTTTGATGTGAACAGGTGGAAGGAAAAGCATGTAGAAACACATAAATTTTGAAATACCAAATTAAAATTAGTTGTATTATAAGGCCTTTACTAATTGGGAACTCTTTAAAGAGAAATATCGGATCATTTAATTCTTTATGTGCAGACCTCGCAGGCTCGAAGAGCGAATAAACAAGTTAATAAAAGGTTTATTATAAAGTATTATTTAAACTGAAACGAAGCCTTTCTTTACTTTTTTGTCCTCGCTGTTTTGTAAAAGTTGGCATTCTCTCCTGTTTTCTTTTTGTTTTCAAATTTTTTGCTGTTTGTTTTTCGAAATTTGTTTAGATTTGTTTGTAAAATTACCTGTTATGAACCGCTGGTTTGAATTGTTATAGATCTGAGAGACTGTATATGGTCATTGTCAACATTAAGTCATTAACAGCATTTAACTATGTAATAACATGGTGGCCTCTTGCTATCCCAGGGACGTTTACTGACGTATTTTCTCATCAAAATATTCATTAGGGACGTTTAGAGTAAATATTCCTCATCAATAATAAAACAATTCTGAAGTGAACAGGTGCACAGAAACACGTAGAAAACATAAAATAAAACTCAACATCCGCTGCATTATAGGGCCGTATTTAACAAATCGGAAGGTTGGGTAGCATTGCATGCTTAATAGGATGTTATGAGAAATAATCACATTTACATAAGGTGTTAGAATACAAAATGAGACGCTGTCAAATAGATTATATAAATTACGAAGTTACGAAGAAAAATATAGTGAAATTAAAAGAGTTGAATAGAACTGCCTTGGACAGATGTTAAGTCATAGTAAAGGAAACATACCAAAGGTCCACTTTGCTGAGAAACTTGCTACTGTACATATAATTAGATAACAGACTGCCATTAGCCAGCTCAGCACTCCTATTACTCAAAAAAAAGTCAATTTACTAGCTTCCAATATAGTAATCATACGCGCAATGAGATATACGTAGCACAAAAAATTCAATGGACTTTCTCTACTGTATTTTTACTATACTGTCGATAAGTGAAGACTTGTAGCTATTGATTATGAGGCTCTCATTAACGGAGAGTTTGTATGAATCGTGAGAAGAGGAAATTCTTTCAAAGTCGTCCATGTTGGGGGTATCTCCAGATATGTTTATGTTAGCAAAATGCTCGATAACGCAAGGCGTGACGTTTGGTTACCTTCAAATGGATATATTCTCATATGCTACGAAAATCCGATGTGTAAATGACGTGATTTGACCCACATACAATACGTACAGCTACAACACTTTAATGAACACACAACATCCAATCTCTGAGGTTTGAGAACTTTTTTCCTTAAAGGAGAAAGAAAATAGACGTTAAGAAAGGTGGAAAACAGTTTGGTACCGACTACCTAGATCAATCTTTCGGTGGGTGTTCCTGCCAGTGTTGAAAAACAAGGAGAGGGGCTGACAAAAACTATAAGAGAGGATATGTTTTCGATCACATGAATTTTTCTTGTTTTGTAAAATCTTGTGTCGTTGCTTCCAACCCATTTCTTCTTTTTTGTTGATCTCTAGTCTACAGCAAAACACAATGCTCCTAGCACTCTTGCAATCAAATCATCAGAAAATTCAATTAATTCGATAATTTTGGATGATTTTATAATGAATATTATAATGGGGATAATAAGCGAAAATAGGAAAGGACAAGAACAGCAACATTTTACTACCACTAACATAGTTGGTAAGAAAGTAAACTCCATCCATTAAAACTTCTTGTTTCTTACGTCAGGTAAATTAACGAGATGACAGTGTGTACATATTCATACATATTCCACTGACTCCAAAATTATGAATGTATGAAAATTCCCTCCCCCCAAGAAAAATAAATTACTGAGCATGCTACGCCACTGTTTGTTTGTAATTTAACTTTATTTCTTATTTAATGTATTTAGATAAAAAGTATTACAGCCGTTATCCTATTTCAAATATTGACTTCATCCTTATTCTAAAAATTTGATGTTATGTTCCAAATTGTTTTCAAATACTGTTCAGAATCATTCACTGTCGTTCACTCTTATAGTTAAAAGGAAATAAAATTTATGTTTAATTATATTCTTTTATAGTAGCTAAATTTCAGAAAACGCCTAATAATTTCTCGAAAAATTCAACTTCCTATATTTTGAGAATTTTAGTAATGTCAAATGATCATAGTGAAGCCTACAGCGAAGATTGTCAATACTCTGGTTATACGGCTGACAGTCAACAACACCAACAGTCCTTCTCAGAACTTCACCAAGCCTGACGATCTTCATCTACAAACATTTAACGATACTTTAAACTAACATCAGCAAAGCTACTTTCTCCATAGATTTATCTTGACATACTTTCACTGGCACATATCGAGCTTTACGTAGCAAACGATGTTCTAACGTGGTTAGAAGAGGTTGATTTGAAAGGTTTTTTGCTTACGATTGCCATAATAACAAAACTCACCGCATCAATCAACTCGCTGAAATGAAAGAATAATCTTGTATCCCTATCGCAACATTGAATAAAGCTATGGCCGTCTTTCAAAGCCGAAACAAATCCCTAACAAGGAACAAAACATGCATTTAATGTATCTCTATCACAACACTGAATGAAGCCATAGCCGTCTTTCAAAGCCGAAACAAACCCTAACAAGGAACAAAAATTATGCATTTAATGTATCCCTATCACAACACTGAATGAAGCTATAGCCGTCTTTCAAAGCCGAAATAAACCCTAACAAGGAACAAAAAAATCATGCATTTAATGCATCCCTATCACAACACTGAATGAAGCTATAGCCATAGCCGTCTTTCAATGAAAAACCCTAACAAGGAACAAAAATCATGCATTTAATGTATCCCTATCACAACACTGAATGAAGCTATAGCCGTCTTTCAAAGCCGAAACAAACCCCTAACAAGGAACAAAAATCATGCATTTAATGTATCCCTATCGCAACACTGAATGAAGCTATAGCCGTCTTTCAAAGCCGAAACAAATCTCTAACAAGGAACAAAAAATCATGCATTTAATGTATCCCTATCGCAACACTGAATGAAAATATAGCCGTCTTTCAAAGCCGAAACAAATCCCTAACAAGGAACAAAAAATTATGCATTTAATGTATCCCTATCACAACACTGAATGAAGCCATAGCCGTCTTTCAAAGCCGAAACAAACCCTAACAAGGAACAAAAATTATGCATTTAATGTATCCCTATCGCAAAACTGAATGAAGTTATAGGCGTCTTTCAAAGCCGAACAAAAAACCCTAACAAGGAACAAAAAATCATGCATTTAATCACATTACACCAACAATAATTTTTACATAGATCTTTAAGAAGGAAACGAATTTCAGTCGATTCTGCACTATAGTTATACATCGACATTCATAAAATAAAAATGCTCAATGCCAATGCCCATGGAGCACAATGTTAGTGTTATCGAAAATAAAAAAGATTTCCAACAAAATACGAGAGATTGAAGACAGTAAAATACTTTGGACAAACCTTTATTTTCAACGATACATTGTGAAAATTTGAATGCTTCGAGAGCAAGTATACCTTTTTAGGGATCCAGTTTTACTACAGAAGGAAACCTAAACTAAACTAACTTAGTAATTTAATATTTATATTTTGTGTACGATTCCCGCCTGGTTTATCGATCGTAACTTAATCTATATATACTAGATATCTCGATCAGTCTGAAACTGTTCTTTTCCTATATTCACAAAATCATCTCTCATTGATCTTGCACATGTTGAAATAATACCAACAGTTACAACAAACCATATTTACCTGTAGCAATTTTAAAACCAACAACATCCCAAGTCAAGACGGTGAACTCCCCCAAGACATCTTTCTCCCAATATGGCAGCTGTGAACTACCATTGCTTGTGTTGTACAATATCACACCATTTAACGGTTCCTGTCTTTTTGTCCGACAATGTACTTTCTCGATGGTGCCTTGAAATGTGTCTTTGCTCACATCATCAAATTTCACTGTACCTTCTGGTAGACGCTCCACTGAGACTGCAACTTCTTTACCTGACAAAATAATTGGCCAAGTTTTTACAAACAAATTTTACGAATTTCCAAAAATAAACTTGTTGCTGTCGTCAGCTATCACAAAAATACGTCAGTTGAGTCACGTGACTCGTTTGCAAACCGAAAATTTCCAATCCTACGTCAAATGCCAATCAGAAGTCATCGTGTGTAAAATAAATTACAAATGATCAAATCGTATACATAAGTGAAATAACTGATAAAACTCATTTTGTATTAAACAATAAATTATCAATATTGATCTACAGGGAGCAACTGCAACGGCCCAAACACAAACCTCGTTCACTTTGTCAGCTCTGTCGATGAAACCAAAAGATTCCTTGAGCGAGCAGACAATCCTTGAACGTAAACAGGAGGCGAAGCTTCGAGCAGCAACAACTCCACGGCACAGCATTGTCCATTTCTATAGAGGTTTATGAACTGTAGCAGTGCATCAATCAAACAACAATTTGGACATGGCTCGTAAATTGGAAATGGTTCGTATAAATAATGAACTAACGTTCATGTTATAAGCGTTAACCAAAGCGTTTTCCTGCGTAAGGTAGCATATCAAAACGTAGAAATAAGGAGAAAGACTTCACCAAAATAGAAAGAACATTCTTAAGACTGCGCATTCATTGCTTAACCACGTAATGTAATGCACGTGATGACGTGATACAATCTAGAGAAACAGTACAAGCTTTCGACGCTATAGCAAAGAATATAATTTACCTTTTGTTTTCCAGGATGTAAAAGACACAGTATCACCTTGTAGATGTGAGACTTTGATAAAACACCAGCTTGATAATGTGGAAGAAAAAACAATTCCTGAAAGAAAGGAGCAACGGTTAGAATCATAAAGATCCACCCCCTAACCGTGCAGACCTGTATTATGCAATGATCTTAAACTCCACCCCTGATCATGCAGACGTTTACTATGCAATGATTTTAAGCACCACCCTGACCGTGCAAACCTGTATTATGCAATGATCTTAAACTCCACCCCTGACTGTGCAGACCTGTATAATGCAATGATTTTAAACACCCCTGACCGTGCAAACCTGTATTATGCAATGAACTTAAACTCCGCCCCCTGATCATGCAGATGTTTATTATGCTATGATTTTAAACACCCCCCCTGACAGTGCAGACCTGTACTATGCAATGATTTAAACATCACCCCTGACCGTGCAAACCTGTATTATGTAATGATTTTAAACACCAACCCTGACCGTGCAAACCTGTATTATACATTCATTTTAAAGTCCACCCTTGACAGTGCAGACCTGTATTATGCAATGAACTTAAACTCCACTCCCTGATCATGCAGACGTTTATCATGCAATTATTTTAAACACCAACCCCTGACAGAGCAAACCTGTATTATGCAATGAGCTTAAACTCCACCCCTGACTGTGCAGACCTGTATAATGCAATGATTTTAAACACCCCCTGACCGCAAACCTGTATTATGCAATGAACTTAAACTCCACCCCTGATCATGAAGACGTTTATTATGCAATGATTTTCACACCCCCTGACTGTGCAAACCTGTATTATGCAATGAACTTAAACTCTACCCCCTGACAGTGCATACCAGTATCATGCAATGATCTTAAACTCCACCCCCCTGACCGTGTAGACCTATATATTGAAATTATCTTAAACTCCACCCCCTGACAGTGCATACCTGTATCATGCAATGATCTTAAACTCATCTCATCTGATCTAATCCTAATCCATATTGTATAATTTTAACTCAACAAGGGCGAATACAGTGGCGCTATAATAGCCTCGATAATTGTGGGGGTGGGGAGGGTATTTAATGTTTATGTAGGTATGTATGTCAAAAAGCCTAAAAAATTATCGAGGAAGAAGTTCAAACAGTACTTACTCCGTTCACTTCATAACTAACGCGACCACATCGGACTCGCCATTGCGAAATAACTGCTACAAAAATAATGATGAAACTTTCTTTGAAAACGACATCACAAACATTCAAAGTACAATAAAACAACAGCAATACGCAACTCAAAAAATTCATACACGACCATTAACAACGAGTAATTTTAAAGCAATATGCATAATGAACAGTGGTGTAGCAAGCACAATAACTGGGGGGAGGGGGTGAGCACACATCTATATATTCCACATATGCATGTCCTGCCATATTGAGTTCCATTGTGTTCCATGCATAAAGACGTGCATAGATGAATTTGTTATCTACCCACCCCTCCCCATCCCTTAATTAACGCGTTTGCTTCGCCACTGACTATTACATTTTCCTAGCTAATTGATCACGATGAAAATCACCTGTTTGGGGTAGCTGTGTCTCGACAACCTCGCCTCAACTTCCACTTTACCAACAACTCTTTCCTCGCTTTTTCCTACAAAGGAAACATAAATGGATGATTCACCAAAGACGATTTCTCAATTTCTCGTAAAACTTTGTAAACCAAACCAGGATGAACGTGCATACACGGCAAGCGTCAAAAAGTACACAAGGTGTCAAGGTCACTTACTTCAAATGTAACAGAGCCTTGTTCCAATTTCACCACTCGACATGCAATTGGTTTACCCTTACGAGAATCTGATGTCACTTCAAACTCCACACAGTCTAAACAAAAAAAGATTTAATCGACTATCAATATCAATCGAAATGTTCTTTACACTTCAGATAATAGACCAGAGCAGTGGCCTTTGCAGTAGCAGTAGAAACAATGGGATAGGCGGGGTGGGGCGGATGGTGAAGGATTACAGTGTGAAACTCCCATACAAGTCAATGATCAGTGGTTTGTTCTGACTAGGTAAATAAACAAAAGTTCTGTTTCGTTTTACCCCACAATAAAACAAAGACTATACATGAGTTTGAAAAGTTGTTTTAACTAACACTAACATTTGGACACACATTTTTTGCAGACAGAGTCCTTCAGAATACCCATCACATTCACATTAAAAGACAGAGCAGTGCAAGTTAGAATAGCAAAGAACACCCTCATACAACATCGTGAAGGCACGTGAATGCCACGTGTTGATAACATGAACTGTGGTGGGATTCAGATGGTGGGGATCAAATTTTAAAAGTATACCAACAAAGGCATGCCCTGGAATCTCCATAGAAATCTCATGCCTTGAGGATGAGCTTCCTCTCCCAATATGTCATAAAGTGTCACCACTGATTATGGTAGAGAGTGAAAAGTCATATGAGGAAACCCAATGAATTACTTGACAAAGAATGCTTTTCAAATAATGACTGATGAAACAAATGCTCTGAATAACTGGATAAGCCCACAAAACAGCTTGTTCCCCTTATTAAATAGCAGAAAGGCAACAAGCCTCATACTTGAATGAAATTATATCAACGTTTCAGAAAAACAATATAATACTAATGGTGTAGTTGCACACATAACAAGTAATATAAGAGTCGTTGAAGGGTGAAAATAAGCAAAATTTACAAACCACCAAGTTCCAGTTCACTTGAATGTCCTTTGTACTGACTGTAATGAAAGAACACTCAAGATCCTGTTCAGCACACTCAATAAAGCCATAACTTTGCTGCAAAAAACATGCATAAATGTTATAGAAGAAAGACTGAATGTGCTTTTAGAGGGATGAACTTAGGAATATATATCAATAACATTATGGAAGATGTCATTAATACACATGTTGATGTCAAAGCACTCATTGCTGGTCAAATGTAGTTCAATACAGTTAAATGTAGATGAATGTATTCAAATGTGTTTGAATGTACACAAAAGTAGATGAATGTATTCAAATGTAGATGAATGTATTCAAATGTGGTTGAATGTACACAAAAGTAGATGAATGTATTCAAATGTAGATGAATGTATTCAAATGTGGTTGAATGTACACAAAAGTAGATGAATGTATTCAAATGTGGTTTAATGTACACAAAAGTAGATGAATGTATTCAAATGTAGATGAATGTATTCAAATGTGGTTGAATGTACACAAAAGTAGATGAATGTATTTAAATGTACATGAATGTATTCAAATGTGGTTTAATGTACACAAAAGTAGATGAATGTATTCAAATGTAGATGAATGTTTCCAAATGTGGTTGAATGTATACAAAAGTGGTTGAATGAATTCAAATGTGGTTTAATGTCCTCAAACAGGGTGCAAATTAATATTACACAAATGGGCATGTGAATTTCAGTTGAAGGTATTTTCACAATCTTAGGTTAAAATTGATACAATATCTGTCATGTTGGATTTAAGTGCCTATGTCAAATAATGGGACTTGATATCATTAGAATTATCTTAAAACATAGATTACTGGGGCAAACAGCCCAAATGCAAGTTTCAATAGAAAGCTTTTCAAATTGACCAGAACAAAAAATAAGACACCAAACAGTGCAAAACGGTTACAGCTTCCTCTACAAAGGCTATTGAAATCAAAAACATTTTGGCAAACTTTTAGATATCATGCAAATGCACTTTTAGATGAACAAAGTGACATATTTTTTGTGTATTAAGAAACAAGTTTTTTGGTCATAGATAAATTTTTTACTTCTTCATGGTACATCTTATTTTTATCTTGCAGGAACTTACTCTACAAAAGCAACACCTTTGTAAAAACAGCAGAATCTGCAGCAAACTTTTGCATTTCTCAATGTCACATAATGATTCATGAAAAAATTTAAAATAGTTGAGAAGCATTTTTTTTGCATTAATTTGGGTCCTTGACCAGTGCATAAAAACTTCATACTAAACTGACTTTGAATTGTTAAAATAACTTACACAAAGTTTTTCAATGACACCTGTTTCCCTGTGTAATACATGAACACCATTTGAAAGGTAATGGTCACTGATACCATAGTCCTGAGACCCATTTGTTCACATAGAATGTTTCTAAGTAGTAAAAAAACATTATAGAATGTTTCTAATTAGTAAGAAACATCATAGAATGTTTCTAATTAGAAGGAAAACATTATAGAATGTTTCTAATTAGTAAGAAAACATTATAGAATGTTTCTAATTAGTAGGAAAACATTATAGAATGTTTCTAATTAGAAGGAAAACATTATAGAATGTTTCTAATTAGTAAGAAAACATCATAAAATGTTTCTAATTAGTAGGAAAACATTATAGAATGTTTCTAAATAGTAAGAAAACATTATAGAATGTTTCTAATTAGTAGGAAAACATTATAGAATGTTTCTAATTAGTAAGAAAACATTATAGAATGTTTCTAATTAGTAGGAAAACATTATAGAATGTTTCTCATTAGTATGAAAACATTATAGAATGTTTCTAATTAGTATGAAAACATTATAAAATGTTTCTAATTAGTAGGAAAACATTATAGAATGTTTCTAAGCAGTAAGAAAACATTATAGAATGTTTCTAATTAGTAGGAAAACATCATAGAATGTTTCTAAGTAGTAAGAAAACGTTATAGAATGTTTCTAATTAGCAGGAAAACATTATAGAATGTTTCTCATTAGTATGAAAACATTATAGAATGTTTCTAGTTAGTAGGAAAACATTATAGAATGTTTCTCATTAGTAGGAAAACATTATAGAATGTTTCTAATTAGCAGGAAAACATTATAGAATGTTTCTCATTAGTATAAAAACATTATAGAATGTTTCTAATTAGCAGGAAAACATTATAGAATGTTTCTAATTAGTATGAAAACATTATAGAATGTTTCTAATTAGTAGGAAAACATTATAGAATGTTTCTAATTTGTAAGAAAAGGTTATAAAATGTTTCTAATTAGTAAAAAAACATTAACAGCAAAATGAAATGAAAATAAAATTTTTCATAAACAAAATGCAGTAGAAAGTACCTTCCATGAGTCTGTTGCCATATTTGATTCACCAAAAGAGAATTCTATTTGTTACAAAGGATGCCAGCAATTTGAATTATAACTTTTGCAAAATAATATATATGGTATATGTATAAAATTCTCCTCTCAATTTTCCTAAATCACCGAATAATATAATCCATTTGCCGCACAAAACAGGAGGCACAAATCTGCTGTGAATATTTAAGATTGTTCCGTGTAAGCTATGACTTGCCAATATGAAAGTTTCCTTAACATGGGCTGTGCAAGATGATATGGATTTGGCTGCTTTCTATAGAATTTGAATTGGCGTTTCCTCATCTTTTTCTGCTTTGCAGACATTTATTCCTAGCAAATAACCAGAAAAAAGTAATTTAACACATTTCTTTAAATATATCATTTGCTCATCATCTAATAACATGGGACATTCAATTACATGTTTTGACTTATCAATAGTGCTGTAGAATATTTATCATGAAGAGCAGCAGTTAACAATCAATAGCACAACATGTATATACATACTTTCTAAGAAAAGAGAAGTGCAGTGTCGTGATTGCAACAGACAAATGTGCATTCATTTTATGCATACACTAAAACTGGAACAGCATAAGGACATAAGTTTCGACATCAAATCAATTTACACAAGACACTAAACACCAGACAAAAAATATGTTAAAACTTTCAACACGAATCACATCAGATAAACGCGACTCATAATTTTGAAGTCAAACATACAAATATCATGTCCATATAAATCAGACAAAAGACACGCTTTTATTTGTATCTTTAAAAGAGTCGAGGCACATCTAAAGTTCTTTTTCAATTTGGAAATTCAATGCTGAAATTCACTTCTTGAAGACATCAAATATCAAACGAAAAACTTTTTCATCAGAATATCAAATTGCTTGTCAGTCTTTGTTTCTTAATTTATTTCAATAATGGTCATTTGAAGAAACTGTAGCGTATAGTTTTAATTAAATTGGTTGCCGCAAAAGCAAAAAACAAAAGGAAGAATACGAATACAGGCAAGGAGAATATTTTGCCGTCTGCTGAGTCTTTGTTAATCGGCTTTGTCTCGAAACATGGTGACTAATGATTGTCAATTTAAAAGGTCAAATTAACGCCAACGGAGTACAAGGTGAACAAAAATGTAATGAAATATTTAAGAACTGACAATTGATATTGAAAAAGAAATCAATACCTTTTTGAGGACAAAATTTCGTCCGTAACCACAACACTATTCAAATTTTTACAATCCGCCATATTACATGATATCAGTGAACTCTTGAAAGTTGAAACACCGGGCACTTCCGGTCATCTGTATATGTGACGTTTTAACCGGAGATACTCGTGAGAAGGTCGGCTATGTTTTCCGTGACTATAGCCTGATTCGCTGTTTCGCACAAGTCTTCAATACCCTCATAAAGATATCCTCATGTTTCATTGTAATTGCCCCGTATTTCTGTATTTGTAACAAGTTGATATTTTCCGTAAATAAAGCATAATTCGAAAGCAAATGTAAATTTGGCCGCGTTTAAACAAAGATCAATCTTTCGGTGGTGTTCAGGCCGGTGTAGAAAAACGAGGAGAGGGGTTAACAACAGACTATTCATTAACGATTTGATTGTCACCAATTAACTTGAAACCACTCGGCTCCTTCCTTAGTATTCAACCAAAGGATGTGTTTTGCAATAGAGCTTTCTGACACATACATTTTTCATGTTTTTTAAAATGTCAAGTCGTTGCTTCCAACCCATTTCTTCTTCTTCGTTAATCACTAATCTACAGCCGAAGTACAACGTTCCTAGCACTCTCGCAATCAAATAATCAGGAAATTCAATTAACTCGAAAATTTTGGATATTTTCTATATATATCATCATGACGATAAGAAGAGAAAACAAGAAAGGACAAGAACATGCTTTGAAGTACCATTTTTTTAAGCTAACAAAGTTGGTAACAAAGTAAACTCCATCCACTAAAACTTCCAGTTTCCTACGTCAGGTAAATTAATGAGATGACAGTGCGCACATATTCATACATATTCCACAAACTCCAAAATACATGAATGTATCAAAATCCCGTTCCCCACGTCTCATTAAAATAAAATACTGAGCATGCTACGCCACTGTTTATTTGTAATTTAACTTTATTTCTTATTTAATGTATTTAGATAAAAATTATTACAGCCGTTATCCTATTTCAAATATTGACTACATCCTTAGTCTAAAAATTTGATGTTATGTTCCAAATTGTTTTCAAATACTGTTCAGAATCATTCACTCTCGTTCACTCTTATAGTTAAAAAGGAAATAAAATTCTATGCTTAATCATATTCTTCTATAGTACGTTAAATTTCAGAAAACGTCTAATAATTTCGCGAAAAAAATTCAACTTCCCCCATTTTTGAGAACTTTTAGTAGCCGTCAAATAACTACAATACGCAGTTCACTGCACTGTAGCAGAGTTTGAATTGATCCTAACAAAAAGAATGACCAATATGACAAAAATAATGAGCAAAATTGCAGCTACAACTACACCAGCAATGGCACCAGTATTTCCACCGTCTACAAGATAAAAATGAATGACAAATCAGAACATTACCAACTAATGTTGTCTTTCAGCGATCATTTTATCATTTTTCTAAAGCTGAGGGTGTAACCGCTCTCACACCTCATGTATTCATCCCTGTCAACTATTCATGATTTATTTATGCTATAAGTTAGGTTTGGAACGCAATGAACTCACCATCTTCAGCAGTTCTAAAAGTAGCTGTAGTTGATCTACCAAAGCCTTCAGAATTGCCAGCGAACACATTAACTTTATACGTTGCGTAAGGAACAAGATTCGTAATGTTGTACGGTTTTTTGTCAGTTACCTCCAGAGTTTTATAAAAAACAATCATAGTATCCTTCAGCAAAATCAATAGATATCTTGTAAGAGGATTCGAGATATTTGTACCAAGTTTTACACCAGTTTTTTTGGGATGTTTCCATGATATCTCGAGGTACGTCGATGCAGATTTGGTTGCAATGAGATCTGTTGGTTTATCTGGGAGTAAGTCTGCACGATAAAAGAAAAATCTACAAATTGAACCATGTGTAGCCCCTAAATGAAATAAGTGTTCTGCTTTTTCTCCAATAACACGTGTTAAACTTAACTGCATGTTGAAAAGGCTTGTTTCAATAAGTTTATTTCATTAGAGAAGAAACTAACACTTCAGCCTTCATGGAAAATTGTTCTGTTTTGTCAACTAACTCATGTTTAATTAATGCTCAGAGAAAAAAACTTTATATATTGAAAAATTAAGTGCTTACAGTGCAAAGTAAACCTGGTATATTTTTCTACCTCTTACCTCCACCACAAATTTCAATTCGTAAACACGGTGCACCAACAAATTTCAATGGAAAGATTCGCAAAGCTTTGGATTTAAGGCCACCAGAAAACTTTTCTATAGCCGCATCATTGTAACCATTTTTGTTTCCTAGATAAATCTGGAATAAAACAAAAAAAAGATTTTCGTGTATTTGCAGAGCAAGGTTAGAGAAAAGAAAGGTTTGTTTAACGCTGTCCAGAGGAGAGTAGTTTATGCATTGTCTATGTATCTCTTCAAATCATGCACATAGCTACAATTTAAACTTTATAATCAAATGCAAGAGTCCTTCGTAGTGCAGGAGTAACCAAGACAATCAACACAGTGACGTAGCTAGCCCACAAATTTGGTCGTGCTATATGTAAATTTCTCAGAGCTCACTAACTGTAAAAACAATAGATCTCTAAAGAAATGAATAATGATAATGATCTGAAATTTACATAGAACCAGCAATTTTGCGTGCTGGCTACACCACTGAATCAACATCTGCACACAAGCTTGTATATAAATAGCAATTTAAAAGTTTACTTAGTTTATAACTTCATTCCTTTTTTAGATTTCCCATTAAATTTATAATATACAAATTCGAAAATTCTACCCTTACCTTCTGGGATTTTTCAGATATCCAGCTCACACCATCAATGTTTGTCTGCAAGTGATATTTAGTTACAAAGCTTGAACTTGAACTGTCTTCAAAGATTGCGATAACGTTAACTGCATAAAGACTTGGGAAATTTAGTTGAAAATAATAATTGCCATCTGCAGCAGGAGCACACCATGAACTACCACTGGATATTCTTGCTTTAGAAGCACTACGACTCTTTGGGAAGGCAGTAAACCAAGAATCTGGGAATTTTTCTGCGTTTTTTAATAGAGGATTATCACAAACATGACCTTAAATAGAAAAGGGATTTTGTTGAAATTCATTACAACATTAGAACTGGTTTGATTTGATAGAGAGCAATGATGCAATCCCATATTGTTCTCCATTCACAAAAAGTCGCAAAAATTAAAAATTGTTGTCTGAAGAAAGAGAAAGAGAGAGAGAGAGCACAAGAAGTATTTGAGGAATACGCCTGATTTTGCAATGGTTTTATTAAATAAGGTTAAATTCCAGTTGGAATCAAGCCAGCTATGACAAGAAAACGTAAGTATCTTGTCAATTAACAACAATACGGTAGCGATATAAATTCCATTAAAGAGTGAACGTTAATCATCGTGCAGAGCAATGACAATTGGACATTTTTTGAAGCACGAAATGAACTAGCAAGAATAAAATTAATTTAATCCCCAGTATTTGCAGCAACCCTGTCTGAATTATTCATTATCCAAGAGTAGCAATAGTTTATATTTTGATATATTTGTAAATGAATAATTGTGAAATTCTCCAAGTTAGCGTAAAATACAGTGACACCACGATGACAGATGTAAGTCTTGATGATAGAGGTAAGTCATGATGCTTAACAAAAGACAGATGTAAGTTGAGAACACAAAAGTAACACATTTATTCCTTAAATTCTTCGCTCAAAACTTTTTCTAACGTCATACAAATGTGTCCTACAATACGTTGAATAGAAGAGGTACACAAAATTCAGTACTTGACATTGACAAGTACTCATGTGTATAATGTAACCTCAATTACTCATGTGTATAGTGTATAGTCAAGCACTCACGTGTATAGTGTACGGTCAAGTACTCATGTGTATAGTGTACGATTAAGTACTCATGTGTATAGTGTACCCTAAAGTATACATGTCAATCAACAGAACGTCTCATCGTTATTTTCTAAATCAATGTTGTCCTACAACAATATGTTTACAAAATCTTTGTGGTTGAGAGTAACAACGAATGAAAACTTTAAACATACAACATAAGTATTTGTAAACACTAAATGATAAAAAAAAATTCCTTACCTGTTTTTTAAAGACAAGAAAAGCAAAAGTAAAAGCAAAACTTTGTCGTTCGCCATTTAAAAAAAAGTTACAATTTGCATGCCTTCATCGAAATGAATTTGTAAAAAATCGAAAACGCAATTTCTCCATGTACAAATAATCAAATCTTTAAAATACAAATCTTTTTGACAATTGTCAATTGGCTAGCGTATAAACTTAACTGTCTCGATGACACTGAAGAAAATACTGCAGTGTTGATTTGAAACAAATTACTCAACAGGAGATTTTAAGATGATATCAACCCATAGACATATCGGCACAATACCGCATTCTTTAAAGGTACAAAATCCACTTCTTCTTAAGATCACGTGATCACGAAGATTCTTTAATGATTTCTAGTCTTCTCGGCCCGTATAGCAACACATATGCACAATGCCAGTCACCTAAAGGAGAAACAGCCTTAACCAAGGATCATTAAAATAAAGCAGACATTCAAATAAAATCAAAGCTATTTTCTATGACATAGAAGTGGGGTGTTGCAATTGCAAAAGACTAACTGCGATAGACTATTTCTGTTGGGAAAGACGTCTTTCGTGCAAAGTATATAAATGTTTATTTGATTTTATGGATTGCACGTTAATGCTACTTTAATATTCGCTATTGTTATGCTATGCGGCATAAATAAATATTATTGATTTTAGACTAATGCCCTTGATTATTCCTTCGCGCTAATGAATTTTCTAAATGACTATTGATAAGTCAAAGCGTATAATGGAATGTTCAATGTGCTCCAATGATGAGCAAATGATGTATTAAAATAGACTAGATTAATATTATTTAAGAAATAAAAGATGTTTACTGTGTTTGCACAGGCTTATGAAAACCGGGGAGACCTTTGGGAGAACTGGAGAGAAGATCAGTGCAAGCCCGAGACCGAAGGTCGAGGGTTGCACATGCTCGAGAGTTTGTTTCGCTTTCGTTTCAACGTCTCAATTAACGATAAAACCCACGCAAAATAAGTCTTTTCCTAGCTGAAAAGTTTTAGTCGGCATGAAGAAAGGTAACATTATATTTGAAAGAATGTTTAGACATTGTGATACGATATTGATTGCAATATATATAAAAATTGCAATATCATTGAGAGGCTCTAACCCAAACACAAAAAAGAAGCAAAAACATGATCATAAAGCATTGATAAAATTTTCAAAGAACCCTTCCTCTAAATTCAGCTAAAACTTCAGCAGCAAATACCTAACACAATGATAATCACCATTAAAACTTAGGCAGAGGGTGATCTTACCTCCCCCGGATAATTTCAAAACATCTTCCTCAGTAATGTGCGTTATTTTATCGTCGTCGCACTTAATCCAATAGTCTAAAATATAAAGTAAATGGTTTGAACCCGGGAGTATAGCTACATGTTTGTGGATGTAGATAGAGCCCTGAGAAGGACTCTTGTTGTTGAATGATGATTAAAGTTTCGACAACCTTAGCGGGAGTCATCTTCATCAAAGGTTGTCGAAACGTCAGTCAACACCAACAACAATAGTCATTCTCAAGAGTCTAAAATATATGAACAGAACATAAAAATGATGTGCGTTGCCTGCAAAATTAGTTACAGACATTGATTACACAACTTAAGCGCATGTTTTCATACTCAAAAGTCGGACAAAATTACGATTGAAAAAAAGAAAACTAAAGGAGGAAGTAGAAGCGTTCGCCCCACCTACCACGTGTAAACTAACACCTGTCATTTCAAGACATGATTAATGATATCAAACGGACGTTTGCTGCCCACACAGATTTATTTTATATAAGACCATTGCCAGGATTCCCACTTCATTCCACGTCTATCGTTTCTACGTTTTTACTTCATTATTCTCTTCGTTTGAAAAGTTTTTCACAAAATGGCTTTGAGTTGGAGGTTTTCTGTCATGTTCTGCTTCAGTGTATTCGATCTGGGTAAGTTGTTGGAATTTAAATCATCACGAACAAGTGAACACTTTTGGTAGAAATTCACTCAACTTGTCCTGAAGTTCTTTTGTCTTGAAGTTACTTTGATTTGAAATGATGGCGATGACGCCACAGTTGATGCAAAACAGCAAACGGACATTTTAGATTCTTTGTTCAATGATTTTTTAATACGTAACTCGTGTTTGCATGAGACTTGTCTCTACGCAAACAAATACTTGGTTTCAACTTAAATCATATCAACTTTCATAAAACGGCGCTCGATGCTTCAACCGTGACTAACTTAAACATATTTCATTACACTCAGTAATAAAACAACTACTTCGTAGCTAAAATACATCAACCCTAACTAAGCAGTTTCTTTTGCGTTGACCACAACGTAATCATCCCAGTGAATTAAAACTGGCGCTCATTCTCGAAAGTAACCGCCCTTGAGCCCCCGCACACATAGTAACCGCCCGTAAAAGAATTTCCCTTAATGGAACCACCCCTAAAAGGAACCACCTTCTTACAAAACAAAGTTTTTTCGAATGAGTAAAAATAGACTGTCAAATTTCATTTAGCAATTTCCTAAAGAGTTCTTACAAGAACAAATGATGAGATAGAGCGTTTATAATCGAATTTCCTTCTTTAGCTTGTCAAAGTGTACTTTCAAAATCGTTGTTCGTCAGTCAAAATGGCGCAGATTTTCCATCGTGTGGTTATAAAAATCGTCCTTGTCGAACGATCAGACACGCCATAACGATTGCAAGGCCTGGTGAGAAGATTCTCATTGAATATGCGCACAAGCCATATGACGAATGCCAAGATTCAAGAACAGTTACATATCTTAACAAGTCCCTAACGTTCATAGGTCACAAAGGCAAACCGACAATTGAATGCAAAAGAGGAGCTCAATTATTCAAAATACCATCACTGAATGAAAAGATCACCATAAACACGACGAATTTGATTCTGATATCTTCAAACTCGGTCATTCGCTGCGATAAACGATCAAGATTCGCACTTTACATCAGGAACTGCGTTTTCCGAGTTTCCAATACAGCAATCGCAGCAAAATCAGCTCACGATTGTTCCATCACGATCCTCAAGAGTACTTTTATGGTCGTACGTATCCATCGGCGTCAATGAGTTGTCTAAATCTAACAGCACATCTTGTCGACAGTACGTTTCGCGCCAGTCCTGTCTCCCTTCGAACAATTATGGAAAAAAAGACACTCTACGTTCAACATACGACCGTTTTCGTGTCAAACTGTCATTTTCATGGCGAGCAAAAGAAAATGTGCGGATCGCTTCTACAAATATTGCCAATGGCAGTCTATAGTAATGTCACAATTGTAAGCAGCAAATTCACAGATCATTTTGGAATATGCACTGGAACTAACACAGGAAATACGCTTTATATCAAGGGGAACAAGTTCGCAAAGAAACGAAAACAAACGCTTATTCATCTAAATAACCTAACACTAAAAGACAACCGTTGCACAGGAACAATACTTCGACTTGAGCCGCTGCTAAGAAAAGTAGATATCTTTAATGTTGTTATTTCTAATTCGTTATTTGAAAACACATCATCCGTTTTGTACGTTTTTTTTGATCGTTCGCGTGGTGGCCTTCGAGGCAAAGCTGTACGTTTCGTCAACAACACTTTCATAAACACGCATAAATATCGCTCAAGTCGTTTTAACAATCTCCATTTAAATCCTGGAAAATTTCTGTTCACAAAATGCACGTTTATCGATAACTATGGCGGAAATGAGCCCAACGATGCTGTCATTGGCGTCTCTTCATACAGTGTTGCCGTTATATTCAGAGACTGTTATTTCGAGAACTCGAATCCTGCATCGTCCTCGACGCTAATCTTCTCACAAAAAAAGAACTTCGTGCTGTTTCAAAAAAACAACACGTTTAATATCACCGCGACGCAACGTGAACTAAACGTCATCGCGTACATTTTCACGAAGCCCGATAATGTACGTCGTTTCCGTCTTCAGGACAACTTCAAGATCCTTTGTCCCTACGGATATGTGATGTCCAAAAAGATGTTTTGCCACGAGGTCAAAAATAAGGCATACGTTGAATGCAACGAGTTCGTGGTAAAATGTAAACCATGTCAGCGGAATACTTATTCGGTAAGTCGTGCGATACTTCATAACAATATCACCAACAGTATCAATTGTCAGGACTGCGCGAATGGCGGTCAATGTTACAATGGTCGCCTGACAGCAAAGCCAAACTACTGGGGATATAAAGTCAACCAATCAGTCCGCTTCATACGATGCCCACACGGTTACTGTTGCCAAGGCAATGACTGCGTCACATACAGTAGTTGCCATGGAAAGAGACAAGGTAAAATTTGCGGGAATGCCCGCATGGCATGTCGGTATCGTTGTTTTCTGCAGCATGCATTCCAAACGCTAACTGCGGTCATTATGATGCTATTCTCTTTGGCCTCGGCTACTGTATCGTTTATTTAGTGTTTTTCTCTACCATAAAGAAATAATTCGATTTGTCAGCGAATTTTTTCACTTCCTCCAAAGAAACCAACAGCGGATTGTTGAAGATCGTATTCTACTATTACCAAATCAGCCGTTTCTTGGTGAGTCCAACTAATTTTGAATCCCGTCAAACAGCCATGACGGAAGTACGTAATAAGATCGGAGAAATTTTCAACTTCATCATCATGAGTATTCCATTCCTGGAATGTCCAATTCGTGACCTTAATGACGTCACAAAACAAACAATCCTTCACTCGCTGGGCTACGTCCTTCACATTTCTTGCCGTGCTGTTCACGGCAACAATTTTAAAGAATTTCGTCTGTAAACGCTTTAAATCTTACACGTCACGAGACATCCCGTTTTCCATCGAGACTGATGCAAGAGACGACGGAAAGACCAAAGTTTCGAGGCGCGCATTGCTTCAGCATATACGCTCATCTCCCTCCTTATGTACGCATCATCCACTCAACTCTGTTTATCCTTGCTGCATTGTGTTCCATTGGATGATGAACAAGTTCTCCACATTAACGGCAACGTTAAATGTTATCAGCTATATCAATATATTTTCCTGGCATATTTCATAACATCCATACTGCCGTTTTGTCTTGTTCCTGTTCTCGGATCGCATCTTCTACGACTTGAAAGATCACCGTCAAGCACTTCTGTATTGCTTGCCTCTTCCTCTACCCTTCTGCTGCTATTGGCTGTATCTATTCACAAGGATACGCGGTTTCACGAGAATGGGACAACATAACAACGACCATACAATGCAGGATATATGTGAGATAAAAACGAACAATGAAGAAACAAACATCGAATGTCCTACCGCAAAGAGTACGAAC